GACCAATTTGAGGGCCTGTCTCTGGTGGTGCTTGTGGTGAAGAACTCGCCTGCCATTGAAGGAGACTTAAGAGATGTGCGTCCGATCGTTGAGTCAGGAAGATCCCATGGAGGAGGGCATGGCAACTCACTTCAGTATTCCTGCCTGGAGAATCCCATAGACAGAGGAGCCTGGTGGTCTCACAAAGAGTCGGACACAACTGAAATGACTTAGCACTCATGCACTCCCAAGCGAAAAGAAAAAGTGAAAGTGTTAGTTGCTCAGTTGTGTCTGACTCTTTGCAACTCCATGAAATGTAGCCAGCCAGGCTCCTCTGTCCATGGATTCTCCATTTCCTTCTCCAGAATATCTTCCCAACTCAGGACTTACTTGATCCTGGGTGTCCTGCATTGCAGGTAGTTTCTTTATCATCTGAGCTACCAGGGAAACTCTGCAGTAAGCATTTTAAGAGAAAGGACTATGTTTCATGCATCTCATTTTCCCAGTTCCTAGCATAAGGCCAGCTCATAAAAAGTGTTTGAAAGATGTATTAAAGAAATAAACAAATGAGTGACTGTGATTTCCCATGTTTCTCCCATTATTTTGGCTATACTTGATATGTTTCTAACTTCTAAATCATGCTTTTTAAAATGTATTACCTAGAAATATAGCATATAAAATGTTTAGATGAATTTTAAAATCACCTGTAATAACATTGCTTTAAAATTATCTATTCATTTTTAACTTCTAATAAGTATACACTTTTTCAAATATTATCAATGATACTGTGAATTTTCTAACACACTAAAGCTTAGTTTTTTCAATTTTTTTTTACTTAAGTTTTAAGTTTATATAATTTTAAATGTCATCTTTCCCCCCCCCCCATATTATCAATTAGCTGATAGAGGTGTGAAGTATCATTTTTTTCTCTTGTTCCATTTCTTATTTTATTTATTTATTTATTTTGTCCACACAGCATGTGTGGATCTTAGTTTTCTGACCAGGGATGAGACCCACACCCCCTGCATTGGAAGTGCAGAGTCTTAGCTACTGGACCACCAGGAAAGTCCCTCTTGTTCCATTTCTGATACAGAATAATTGTCATGTGTGTGCATGCATGCTAAGTTGCTTCAGTTGTGTCCAACTCTTTGCAACCCTGTGGACCATAGGCTCCTCTGTCTGTGGGAATTTTCAGGCATGAAGAAAACTAGGGTGGGTTGCCATGCCCTCCTCCAGGGGGTATTTCTGATCCAGGGATTAAACCCATGTCTCCTGTGTCTCCTGCAGTGGCTGGTAGGGTTCTTTAACACTAGTGCCACCTGGGATCTCCATTAGGTAAGCACTCTCTACTGAGAAGTGATGATGCAAAAGAGAAGAAACAACTTCCTTGGTTAGGCAAGGCCTATATTTGAAAACTAATGCTTTAGCATATATCTCTCATTTCTGTACTACTGACCCTAGATAGTCTCTATGATTCCTATGTGCCAGTATTTATATCACATTCAGTTCAGTTCAATCACTCAGTTGTGTCCAACTCTTTGTGACCCCATGAACTGCAGCATGCCAGGCCTCCCTGTCCATCACCAACTCTTGGAGTTTATCCAAACTCATGTCCATCGAGTCAGTGATGTCATCCAACCATCTCATCCTCTGTCATCCCCTTCTCCTCCTGCCCTCAATCTTTCCCAGCATCACTGTCTTTTCAAATGAGTCAGCTCTTCGCATCAGGTGGCCAAAGTGTTGGAGCTTCAGCTTCAACATCAGTCCTTCCAATGAACACCCAGGACTGATCTCCTTTAGGATGGACTGGTTGGATCTCCTTGCAGTCCAAGGGACTCTCAAGAGTCTTCTTGAGAAGAAAACACCACAGTTAAAAAACATCAATTCTTCTGTGCTCAGCTTTCTTTATAGTCCAACTCTCACATCCATATATGACTACTGGAAAAACCGTAGTCTCGATTAGATAGACTTTTGTTGACTGACAAAGTAATGTCTCTGCTTTTTAATATGCTATCTAGGTTGGTCACAACTTTCCTTCCAAGGAGTAAGCGTCTTTTAATTTCATGGCTGTAATCACCATCTGCAGTGATTTTGGAGCCCCCCAAAATAAAGTCAGCCACTGTTTCCACTGTTTCCCCATCTATTTGCCATGAAGTGATGGGACTGGATGCCATGATATTAGTTTTCTGAATGTCGAGCTTTAAGCCAACTTTTTCACTCTCCTCTTTCACTTTGATAGCCTTCTAATACAGTCAGTAAATGCCAAGGCATTCAGATATACATGTGGACACTACAAATGAATAAGGAAGTCTGTTTTGAGGACCTTATAAAGGCCTATATAAAGAGAGAATATAGGTATATCAATGTGATGTGAATATATAAAGAACTAAAAATAAGTAATAAAGTGGATACTCTAAGTATAGCATAATCATGTGTTTGAGTATTCTAGATAGATAGCTAATTTCTGTAGCTCAATGAAATAAGAATGGAAGCAAAGCAGCTTTTGGTGTTTAGGACTGGGGAGGTTGCAGTAATTTGGTGAAAGGGCAGTGGTAACAATCCATCCTGGAGAAAGGTCAGGTATTTCAGATCAAGTGGGATGTAAACTCCGTGCTGGTTAATATTGAAGGAAGCTCTCTGATTTCCAAGCACTTGAGGTTTTTTATCTTTTTATTTTTTCTCAAAGAGACTCTGTGAATCCTGCAGGTACATTAGTAATCTTAGAAACAAATATTTTCTTTTTCTTTGGCTCAAAAATCTCCAACTCTCACAGAAATTTCTGGATCTCAGAAAATTCAGGGATTTCCTTCATTTTAGTGTTGATATACTAGTTCATCTTTTATGGTTACCTCTGTGTCTTAAATTAGGAAGTGAATTGTCCTTAAATTTTATTCTGAGAAGAAGTACATTTGGATGTATGAATGATTCAAATGCATTAATTTCGGTAGTGCTTTTATCCTATCATTTTTTTTGGATTCCACATCCACCCAAGTACATGCACAGGTAGTGCTCACCTGAAGTTACAGCTCCAATGTTAATATCAGGGTTTTTGGTGAAAATATTGAGGATGTGGCTATAGATAGAATGGATCATAACAAAGTGAATAAGCATCAAGATGATAATGGTGGTGATAAAAGTAATAGTAATAATACTAGTCATGGCAACTTTGAACAATGCAGTTAGAACAGAATTTTAGATATTTAATAAACAATGGTTGAATCAATGAACAAACAGTAGAGGATATGATGAAGGTAGAGATGGTGGTGGGATCAATGGAAGTGGAGATGTTCAGCAGAGAAGTGATGGCGGTTCCCACACTGACTGTGTTTATATGGTGATGAAGGTAGTGGTAATCAGAAAAAGAGCTGGATGAGAAATCTTGCAAGAAATTAAACACATACACAGACACACATACACTTCTTTTAAGATGCTCAAAGTGTGGCTCTTAATCTGTGCACATGTTTATACAAGACGAAGTGTTTCTTCTTAGAGAAAGCTATATGGAAGTGGCAGAAAGTTCTAGTGGTCCAGAGAACACAAGGTCCTTGAGACTGGCTTCCAGAGCCCTAAGGTCAGGGTTGTAAAGTTGAGAAAAGTCATTTGAGAAACAGAGCTACACTGCACTGCTGTCCTGTGCCCAGCAGTCTGGCCCTGAGGCACCCCTACGAAGAGCTAGTCAAACCCAGCAACCCCAGGGAGCAAAGCAAGGAGCCCCTGGGAAGCCAGCATCTTCAGGAACACAGGACATAAATAAGGAAGAGTTTGGACGTAAAAGGGCACTGAAAAAGAAGCTATAAGACTTAATGCCGTCCAAGCAGTCAGGTAATGGTCAGGGACAGTGGAGCAGAGATGAGAGGTACTCAAGAAGAGGACTGAGAGAGGGCTTTGACATGTCCTAGGTGAACCTTGTTATATGTGTGGGAAGAAAACTCTTGGGACCTTAGTGTAGAGCTCCTATGTCCACCCTCATCCCCCAAACCTTCTTTCAGTAGACTACCATGGCTGTAAGGGACTTCCAGGCACCAATTTAAACTACTTCATTCTAGAAAAGAGCAAGTTGAGGTAAAGAGAGGAGAGATGTATCATACAGCAATTGTCCTCCAATAATTGTATTTTGTTCTGTACTTCTCAAAATTGTACAATTATAATCTTTGATAGTTTAAAAAAGAAAAAAATAGAGAGGAGAAATGGCCAGGCTCAATATTCATTTAGTGGCAAAGCACATTTAGAAAGCCGATTCCGAGAGAATGTGTTTTATCTTATACTGCAGCCCCTCTACACCAACATCATAGGGTCTGGACTTCATCAATTTACACATACACCTCTTAGAGACTTCCCAGTACATAATTCTATTTGAGAATCCTTCCTGAAAATGCACTGTGTTTGCTCATTGTTTCCTCATCTGGCCTTATAGCTCTTATATTTGAGGAACTCTCCAGAGTATTCACATTTCTTTCTTCTTCCACTTCTTCCTCATTCGGTCCATATAGAGAACATCCCTGAATTCCAGAGAGGCTCCCTGAAGGAAGTTAATGGTCACATTTTATAAGGTATTTGTCACCTTTTCCCACAGCTAAGAACAACTGAGTTTTGGATACAGAGGAAATGGTACAGGTGGATGTCTTAGAGAATCGTGAGACCTTTCATTTGGACTAAAAGAAGATGAGCGTGAAAATTTCTTATCTCTTCTATTTCCTGAGCAGATATGCAGGAGAATATCCTGGGGCCCCTGACTCTGGTATCACAGTCTATACAAACAAAAAGTCCTGGACTGAGATTCAGGAAACCTGGACTCTGCTCCAGTTCTGTCAACAACAGACTGAGATATTGTGCAAATCACTTCTGCCTTCTGGGCTTCAGTTGTCTTTTAAAAAGTAAGGTTTGATAATGCATAAGTTATTTTCAGGGTTATACGTTCTATATTTTTGGTTCTGGAAAGATTTCTCAAGAAGATTCCTGAAGCAGTTAATCTTCTGTCTTTACTCCTTGCTCTTAGGAACCATGGACCTTGTCAATCACACATGGACCCAGGTTTTTCTCCTTGCTGGTTTCACTATCACTGGGGCCCTGCGACCTCTTGCTTTCCTGGGGACACTGTGTATCTATCTCCTCACCCTGGCAGGGAACTTGTTCATCATTGTCCTGGTTCAGGCAGATTGGAGACTCTCATGAGCAGACGGGTACAGTTATGGCTGGCAGGGGCCACTTGGGTGGCTGGCTTCTCAGCTGCACTTGTACCAGCAAGCCTCACAGCCACTCTGCCCTTCTGTTTAAAAGAGGTGGCTCATTACTTCTGTGACCTGGCACCACTAATGAGGTTGGCGTGTGTGGACACAGGTTGGCATGCTCAAGTCCACATTGTAGTGATTGGTATTATCAATGCCTGCAATCTTGTGCTCATTTTAGGACTGTATGGGGGTATCCTGAGAGCTGTGCTGAAGCTGCCCTCAGCTGCCAGCCAAGCCAAGGCCTTTTCCACCTGCTCCTCCCACATAAGTGTCGTGGTGCTCTTCTTTGCCTCTGCTTTCATTGTCTATGTGGGGCCACCTGAGAGTCGTCCTGAAGGCACTGACAAACTTCTTGCCTTGGTTTATACTTTTCTTACCCCTTTTCTCAACCCCATTATTTACACTTTTCGTAACAAGGAAGTGAGAGAAGCTGTCAAGAGAATCACCCAAAGCATTAGGGCTATGATTAAGAGACCCTGAGGATCAAGCCATAGGCCCTTCACTTGGTAAGTGTAGGCTTTATTTGGTTAGTCCATCAACTAATTAATTTGTCAAATATACTGCATATATCAATTTAAATGTATTGAGTATTATATCAGGACAAGCTGGGAAATTTGTAAAGGTGGAGAAATATGGCCTCTGAACCTATACCTATCTAATATGGGTGAAAAAATCACATAAATTAAAAGTAATCAGATAATAAGGATGCAAAATCCAGGGTAGACTTAAAACTTAGAGAGATAAATGCATTTTTAAGAATCTGGAAAACTAATTGTGCATCTTTACTCAAGATGAAATTTTTGGAGACCATTGAGAAAATAGTAAAGGAGGTTGTGTGCTCAGTTGCTTTCAACTTTTTGCAATCCCATGAATCAAGTTTGTTCTGAGAGTTTCCTCAAGTCTCAGATTTTGGGATCCTAATACCCTGGGCACTCATTTGGTAATTTTCTAAAAGTTCTTTTCAAATCAGACATAAAACTGTAGCGTCCCCCTTGGAGATTCCCTGTCTCTGGATAACATGGTCATAAATATACTGAAAATACAAGAAGAAAATTCATTTAAAAAATAATTCTTCTGGGCAGCATGTTTTGAATGAGTGAGTGTACAATTTAAGAGCTTCCTGCATTTACTTAATGATGTTAAAATACTTTATTTCTATGGCAAGGTTAACTTGGTGTTTAACTTATTTTACTGGGAGAGGATGTGTGCGGGGTGACATACAGACTATTTTTCCCATAGAATAATTCTCCTATGCCTATAGAACGTGACTGCCATGGGATTTAACAAGGATTTCTCTGGTCAGCCTTTCTGCTAGAGGCCTCTTGCTATCTCTTCTCTCTTCTTTCCAGAAGTAGGAATGGGCTCCCAGCTTCCCAGAACCACCCCATGCCCTCGCCCAGTTCCACAACCTCTTCCACAAGTATGCCATTTATACTCGAATATTTGGTGTTCATTTTCTCATCAAATCTCTCATAGCAGCAAAATGGATGAATGTCCTTCCAATCATTTAGTAAGTCAATTCAAAAAAAGTTAACTTTACTGAATAAGAAGAATGAATAGCATCTTTTAAAAAAGAGGGTCTGATTCTGATGGCTGAGTCTTCACCTTCCCTATCATTCCTTTCAGCTATGGATTTTTCAGAGTCTGTATGAACATAGGAATCAGACTGTGTATCACTTATCACTTAAATGTAAGCTAACTAGAGAAAATCCTTTCATGCATGATTTTATGTGAGCTAGCAGAGCCAGTTTTGGAAAGGTATTTTGTTCCCTGCAGTCATAAAGTTCTAAAAATAAGAAATTATAGGCAATTCCTTTAGTTCGTTGACTCAGTGAACAAGACAGTAAACTTTTTTTAGCTTCCCCAAACACAAGATTACTGATTAATTATGAGAGAAATGAAGCGCGACACATCATCTGGAATGTTTTAAGGTAAAACCTTAACCATAGATTTAGAGTTTTTATTTTAATGAGAATGTGCATCAAAGAACTTTTAGAAACCTTGAATCTGGGATGTAACAATTTGTATTTTAGCAAGCCTCAAGGCAATGTGAAGCAAATTCAAGTCTGAGAGCAATTTATGTAATCTGATTGGTGAGACTGATAGAGGAACTAGGCATGTGTAGCCCAGTCATCTGTTCCTCTTCTTGGGAAACAACCTGCCTGGTTTGTCTGTTATCTTCTTTCCAATGGAGGAGGGCTGTGGCTTTCGGCATTTGTGGTAATCAGGCGGGGAGACTGTAAGAAAAGCTAATACACCCATTATCATAGTAAAATGTTTGGAAACCCTCGCCTGAGTAAATATTTACCAGACAGATATGGTGAGGAACATAGAATACAGATGGACTTTAAGCACAAGTCAAATTAAACAAATGCTAAGCTATAATATAAGGCCCACTGAAAATGTGTACTTTTTGTTCTGGAGATTGAATGTACAGCATGGTGACCATCAATGATACTGTAGTATATGCTTGAAATTTACTAAGAGGGCAGGGTAGTTCTTAAGAGTTCTATTTAAAAAAGAGAACAGAAGGGAGGAAAGGAAGGAAGGAGGAAAGAAAGAAAAATCATTAGTGTGTGAGGTAATGGATATTTTAATTAGTTTGATTATGGTGATCATTTCACAATGGATACCTATAGCAAATCATCAAGCTGTATACCTTAAAATATACAGTTTCTACTTGTCAGCTGTACATCAATAAAACTAAAAAATATGTGAAAAAAGTTTCAACACAGTTAAGAGAATTAATATTATATTGATTAGTTTCTAAATCATGATGTAATCAAATTGGTAACAAATAAATAACAAATTTAAAGTATATTTATGCTTGATATTAAAAAATACTTCTAAACAATTTATAAATCTAAGAGTATACTGTAAGGGAAAGTAGAAAACATTTAGCCTTGAACAATAATAAAAATTATAATTTTGAAATTAATGGGATAAAGCTAAATTATTTCTTAGAGAGAAATTCATAGCTTTAAATGTTTACATTATAAAACAAAAATTGTGCAAAATTGATTAGTGAAGCAAGCACCCAAAGTTTAGGCACTTGGAGAAATAATATTAGGAAGAGAAAACAAAGAAAGTAGGAGGGAGAAAAATATAAATATGGGACAGAAATTAACAATAAAAATTAGTAGATAGCAAAGGAGATATATAAATCAGAGTTGGTTCTAAAACAAAAGTAAACCCTTGACAAGACTAACAAAGAATAAAAGTGGAAAGGAGTAAAAATAAGAAATATTAAAAATAAAAATTTGATACAAATCTAGGTTTAAACTACAAAATTTAAAGTGACAATAAGATGGTGGCGTTAGTGGTAAAGAAGCCACCTGCCAATGGAGAAGAGGTAAGAGATGCGGGTTCTATCCCTGGGTTGGGAAATCCCACTGAAAGAGTGCACAGCAACCCACTTCAGTATTCTTGCTTAGAGAATCCCATGTACAGAGGATCCTGGCAGGCTACAGTCCATGGAGCTCACAGAGTCAGGCACAATGGAAGCAATTGAGCACAGCGCATTAACAACACACAGTAAACAATTAAATTTTTAATTAGCTAGATTCATTTTTCTGAAAATTGAAATCACCAGTATCAACTTCAGAAGGGCTTCCTTGGGCTCAGTGGTGAAGAATCTGCCTGCAATGCAGGAGACACAGGAGACACAGTAGACGTGGGTGATCCCTGGGTCTGGAAGATTCCCTGGAGAAGAGCATGTCAACCCACTCCAGTATTCTTGCCTAGAGAATTCTATGGACAGAGAAGTCTGGAGGGCTACAGTCCATGGGGTCACAAAGAGTCAGACATGACTAAAGTGACTGAGCACACACAACTTCAGAAGCAGTAGAAAATCTTAGTAATATTGAACTAGAAGTTAAAAATATTACTAGAAAGAAAACATTAGGCCAAGATTGCTTAACAGGCAAGTTCCTCCAAATATTGAAGGGAAAGGTAATTTATTTCTTTTTATAGAACTTATTCAGAGAGCAGATACACTGGAAGTACAACTTAACACATTTTAGAAATCTTGGTGGATGCTAATACTGAAATAAATAAAACCAGTATATGAAGAAAAGAATCAGAGGCCAGTCTCACTCATCAACATCAATTCAAAATTCACCATCTAAAAAGTCCTAAGCCATACTTCAATAAACTTTATCAAGTAATGATGACTGAATTTGGTTTAATCTCAGAAATGAAAGATTAACAATTGAAAAGTGCATAATATAATTGATAACATTAACTGTTTAAAAAAGAAAAACCATGATGATTATCTCTTGATCAAGAATAAAAACCATTAAATAATGATTCATAACTTAAAATAAGAAACAGTAAACAAAATTACAAATGAAAATAGCTTCCTTGTTATTATAAAGGGCACTTTAAAAAATCATACAGCAGATCTAAGAGTGATGTATGAAAACCTTTCTTTTAAGATCAAGGGCAAAACAAAATTAATGAAAAATACAACTTCTCAGTTCAGGTCAGTTCAGTCACTCAGTCGTCTTTGAGACCCTATGAACTACAGTACACCAGGCCTCCCTGTCCATCACCAACTCCTGGAGCCCAACAAAATTAATGAATAATACAACTTCTCAGTTCAGTTCAGTTCAGTCGCTCAGTCATCTCTTTGAGACCCCATGAACCGCAGTACACCAGGCCTCCCTGTCCATCACCAACTCCTGGAGCCCACCCAAACCCATGTCCATTGAGTTGGTGATGCCATCCAACCATCTCATCCTCTGTCGTCCCTTCTTCTCCTGCCCTCAATCTTTCCCAGCATCACTGGCTTTTCAAATGAGTCAGCTCTTCGCATCAGGTGGTCAAAATATTAGAGTTTCAGCTTCAACATCAGTCCTACCAATGAATAGCCAGGACTGATCTCCTTTAGGATGGACTGGTTGGATCTCCTTGCAGTCCAAGGGACTCTCAGGAGTCTTCTCCAACACCACAGTTCAAAAGCATCAATTCTTCTGAGCTCAGCTTTCTTTATAGGCCAACTCTCACATCCATACANGTTGGGAAGATCCCCTGGAGGAGGGCATGGCAACCCACTCCAGTATTCTTGCCTGGAGAATGCCCATGGACAGAGGAGTCTGGCTGGCTACAGTTCACAGATCGCAGAGAGTCGGTCGCAATTGAGCACTTACACATTTACAGACATAGGTACCATCTAAGCACATAGGTAACCACCAGGCTTCACTGGTGGTACTAGTGGTAAAGAATCTACCTGTCAATTCAGGAGATGCAAGAGATGCAGTTTTGACTCCTGAGTCCAGAAGATCCCCTGGAATAGGGAATGGCAACCAAACTCCAATATTCTTAACTGGAAAATTCCATGGACAGAGGAGCCTGGTGGGCTACAGGCCATGGGGTTGCAAAGAGTTGGACACAATTGGGCACTCATATCACTCATAGATAGCCATGGCCAAATTATTAGCATTAATATGGTTGACGAGCTTGCTAGATACTTCTCAATG